AAAAATTTTATTTGGTGTGTGTTGGAAAGGGGGGTCATCTTATACGGCTGGTATATCTCAAACTCTATATTTTAGCTGGAAAAGTTGGGGGTTGTCTTATACGCCCAGTCGTCTTATACGCCAGAAAATACAGGTATTTCCAAGGTGTCCTGTTGTACTCTCCTCCCTCTCTTCCTGGCCCCAGAAACACTGGAAGGGGGTGGGGTGGGGAATGGATAATCCTTCCTTGTATACCTTGCCTTAAATCCAATTGTTAGTTCCAACTAGAGTAGACCCATCAAATGAATGAGCTGACATAAGGTTTGGCATATTCAGCAATTGCTCCCATGGGCCTCCTAGCAAGTGACTTAGGCCTAAATTCCCTGCAAGGATCTTCTAGTGATGCAAAGAAATCTTGCTAAATTATTTGACAAAGCAGGTTCTCTTGACATATAGAGTCAGCCTGTTAAGAGAATTTGTTAACCCCTACAAGACTTTTCATCTCCAATGCAAGAAAGTGAAAACAAACACTTTTTTTTGATGAAGGGTGTTTTTTTGGGGGTGGCAATTTGCTTAAATTGGGTTTGTGCAGAATGAATGCTTTTTCCCTTTGTGAAGCAAAGCATACACATGTACAGCAAGCACACAGAGTCAGTCTGATTGATTAAAAATAAAATGGCAGACAAGCCATCCAGCACTTCTGATTTTAAAAACTCCATGCAGAAAGGCAGCAGCTACCATACTGTGGTTACAAAACTGTTGTAATTTGCACATTTTGTACAATGTTTCTAGCTGGAAATGCTAGCACTCTCACCAAGACTGACAGGAAATACCCCCAATGTCTTGTCGAACAAAATGGTAGTGGTGGAGATTGTCATTATTATTTTTTGCAGTATCCCATTCTCATGAATGAGATAAATTTGCATCCCTAAGATCTTCTTCATCAGGCACTTATGACTCTGTAAAGAAAACGATGCTTTGTAGCTGAATTCTATGTATCAAACAGACATCTTGTTTTGTCTGTAGTGGACTTGAAACAGCCCTGCCTTCAATTCCTTAGCTAGTATTGGTAAACACTGAATTCTGTTAATAGGCTTGTCACTAGTTCTTACTTTCTTTTTAAAACAACCTCCCAGTAATAATTACCTATAAAACAAACAAGGGATTGTTATTCTCTAACTGATGTAATTTCAGAAGTCAGAATTTTAAAATTACTCCAGTTCTGGAGAATAAATTATTTTTCCTTGCTGAGCAAAGGATTACATTGAGAGTGCAATTTCCCCAATTGACTCTTTTATCTAGTGCACCACCTAAAATTTAATTTCTAGTTTTCCAGGCTGCCATGTTTCTCTGTGCTTCTACTCTGTGCTGATGAAGGAACCTGAATATATAGGAGCAGGGGCAGATTCAGGACAGATTTCTGAGTGGCAGGCAGGGTTTGTGCTTTTAGATACTGAGACTGAATGCATTTCAACATGTAGCCTGATACCAGCATACTTACCAGTCATTCACACAACTGGCAATCTCCATCAAAGGACTGAATGTAACTACAGACCTCATCACCATGACATTGGGCCTAAATTTTGGGGCTTGTCTATTTCTTTCCCCATTCCCAACTAGTTAAGAATTCTAGAGAATTTAAAAGCATGCACAATTTTGTGGCATTTTCATTGATGCCAATTAAAGAAATGCCCAAATTGGATTTTTGTTTTTTTCTCCCTGTGGATCAGCCAAGCTACCTTCAGGGATTTGTTAAGCATACATCAGTGTTCATTTGAACTGATTTTTCACTTAAAAATTGAATTTGAAGTAATCTGTAGTTTTGCTACCATAGTTTTACTACTAACACAGCAAACTCAGCAATGATTTTGGTGGATGAGTACTAACATCAATACTGCCAATGACACACAATCTGTTAAAGGTACTAACATCAACACTGCCTATGACGCATAATCTGATAATTAGGTCCTGTGTTTTTCAGCCACTTAGCTTTGAACTTTGTCAATACAAGTCCATAAGACTTAAGAGTATTAACAATATAGTGGATAGAACTAACTGCTCAGGGTTAATGTGGTTTGTCTCCTCTTGTGCAGCATGGTTTAATTAATCTGCAATCTACACATTAAATCAATGAATGAAATACTAAATTAATGACCCCAGTTAATTAGCTAATGCTTTCAGCTAATTATTAAGCCACTTTGAGCTTTTGTTCTTTAAAGATCTGGGGCTAGAAAGTTTAGATTCAGCAGAATTTGATCTTCCTAACAACAACAGGGTATCATTAACAACATTTAAATTCACATATGGATTTGAGCATACTTATCTGAGGTCAGCTTGGGTACTAGCTTTCCTTAAAAAAGGATTCTTGATTCCCCCTAAGAGTCTTGTGTTTGTGTGTGTGTGTGTTGTGTGCCATCAAGTCATTTCTTACTTATGGCAACCCTAAGGCGACACTATCATTGGGTTTTGTTGGCATATTTTGTTCAGAGGAGGTTTGCCATTGCCTTCCCCTGAGGCTGAGAGCATGGGACTTGGCCAAGGTCACCCAGTGGGTTTCATGGCTGAGTGGAGAATTGAACTCAAGGTCTCTAGAATCATAGTCAAACAGTCAAACCACTATGCCACTCTGGCTCCTTAGGTGTCTGACTTTACTTGTATTGTCTGACATTAGTCCCCTGAATCAGGCCACTTTAATTTCTATGCATACATACATTTCTTAATTCTAAATTTTCATGTGCCAATGTAATGTATGACATTGCTGGAAATGCATGTTAACCTAATCAGAACATACGTTTGGTTGCTTTTTATTTATTGATGGTATTTGCCACATACAAAAATTTCTGTCTGTCTCTTGCAATATACAAATACACATCATTGATTATAGAGTCACCAAATCTGCTGCATTCTATAACAGGAACAAAATAAGAAAATAAGACTTTTGTGCCTATCCCAGATAATTTGGATATTTTCCTGGAAGAGCATTTCTTATTTAGGCTATAGAATGCAAATTTAGGAATCAATGGGCCTCGGCAGACAACTAATTGAGTCGTCTTCGAGGCAAGGAAGA